AAAAGCATCCATCGCATCTGAACGGGATACAAATTCCAAGAAAGCAAAGCCTCGATTCATTCCTTCATTGTTGCTATCTTCTACCAATGTTAAGTCCTCAACATGGTCAACTCCATAATGTTTCAACTTCAATTTCAACTGGCACAACAGTCAATGACGAACATCAAGCACATATTATCTATTTATAATCAGTTACAAAAATTACCCATACTAGCTAGTGACCTTAAATGATCCAATGTACTTACTGCTTCTTTTGTCCATGTCCTGCATATGTTACCCAGAAAAAGGGTGTCGATGTCTTGACTTGGGGTAACACCACATTGTTTCCCGTTAATCTGCAATTGCAGTCAACAAAATAAAACAATTTGGGTGTGAAGTCAATCCATTTTGAAATTCAAAAAGGTAATATTATTGAAGAACAGAATAAATACCACAGGATTCTTCAGTTCCATAAATGCAAGTTTCGCTTGTTCTATAGTTGCAAAACGCACGAAAGCAAAGCCCTTGTTCTTCTTTGTTTGAGGGTTCATCTACAGCCAAATTTCAACAACATCACCTACTAAGCAGAAGATTTTCCTAACATCCGCCTCAGTGGCATCTTTGTCTAAGCCCCCAACAAACACTTCAAACTCTTTGCGCTTGCATCTCTCTTGAAAAACCTCATGTCCCTCGTTATGCTCTTCTCTATCATCCAATCCTGCATGTTCCACTTCCTCCCCGGGATGCCCATCGTCATCATCAGTATCACCTTCTACTTCAACTCCATGAATATCTTCATAATCTGACAGATCACCCTCTTTCTCCTCATCATCCAGTTCCTCCTCAAGCTCTTCCTCTTCTTCATATTCCACTTCATCGGGACCCATCTCCTTCTCATCATAATCCACCCTGTCATATTCTTCAGGTTCATTATCATCCAATTCTAACCGCTCATCTTTTTCATATTCCTCAACAGACTCCTTCAACTCATTCTCTTCTGCAACAAAAAGGGGTAGAATAAACAAGGCCACTCGAGAAGTAATCACCTTAAACGATTGGTACTAAATTCTAATAAAAACAAAATTATCTCAGCAATCAAATCCTCATAAAGATAATAATTGTCAACCTTGTAAATCAACCAACAAGGATAACTCCATGTAATAGTAATACCAAATATGATCTATAGTAAATCAGAAAACTGTAACATGCTAAGCACCAGAAAAAACCCAGAAACTACAGCAAATGTTACAAATTTGTATATTAGCAACATGCAAATACGTTTCAAGAGTCCAGATGCCCAAACCGGTCGGATGAAATAAAATCGGGCAGACCAAAAACAAACAGAAGACTTACTTTTCATCGCATCCGACCCGTTGGAATTCAAATTTAATCCAGTGTGTTCCTTCTCGACAACCCCTTTTTCCTTGATCACCACTTTTTGTTCCACATTTGGCTTCTCATCAACTCATCGGCCTTGACGACATCCTCTTTTTCCTCTTCCCTAGCTCCTACAACTGGAACTGAAGCCTCCTTTACATCCACGGCCTCTTCTACAGGCTCCGTTTGGTAGTTTCTGGGATTTTGATGCCCCTCTAGTGGAGCTAGGGTTCCCCTTTGAGCCAGCGGACGCAGCCCCTTTCTTCACTGTTATAGGAGACATTGTTTATAAAGCTAACGACGGAAATATCAGAATTCGATTATAAGGCAAAAAAGGCGAGAAGGAATTCAAATTAAAGATCCCAACTTAAAGAAAAGTTTATTAGAAAATATCTAAAATTGCAGTTAAAACCCTAACCCTATGTGAAAGAAGATCCTGTTTTGGAACTTTTAACGAATTTAATAGTATACGATATGAGGTTGATGTCCGGGCTCACTTAGATAGCAGATAGTCTATTAAAGATATTAAAACTTAGGAGAAATTACCTATTTGATCACTCACATATTACTTAATGTCTGTTTTGGCTAATCAACTATTGTTTTTTTCAAAATCATATCTAACATTATATTTTGGTTCTATTTTGATCCCCACTATTAAAAGGTAAGGGTGATACTGACATGACAATTTTAAAATTATTTTTTAATGTTAATGTAGTATTACTATATGATGACACATTAGCATCATCGTTACTTTTTTAATAACGGGTGACCAAAATAAAATAAAAATGTTATGTTATGTATGATTTTGAAAAATAATAATAGTTGAGTGAACAAAACAGAAATTAAGTAACAGATGGGTGACCAAAAAGATAATTTACCCTAAAATTTATGATAAGATTTCTTATTATAATATATTATTATAAGGGTAAACTACAATGATAGTCCCTCTTAATTTTTCTCAATTTTATTTTGATCACTAATTTTGGAAGAGAAAAAAATAAATTTTGTTCACTTTTATTTTTAATCTGTCTTATTTTGATCTTTGACTCCTGTAACGATGACATTTAAATACGATTCTATTGTCCTTAATTTTTTTTATAAATCTATAGTGATTACAAGGTAGTAGCTATTCAAATATTTTAAATTATTTGACAATAAACACTCATACCGAACTCGAAACCTTAAGATATCAACAAATCTCTTAGCCACTGAAATTGTTTAATCCATACCTACTGTACTTAGGTTTAAGTTTGGCGTTACCAATTATGTCATATTTATAGGCATGATGTTATCATGTAACTTGAACAACGACTTAAGTAGGAATGGGCATGGGTCGGGTTGGGTTTTTGGTCCACCTGACCCGACCCGGAGAAGAAGGGGACCTCCACCCGTGACCCGACCCGACCCGACGAAATTAATTTTTCACTTGACCCGACCCGACCCGATAGATAGTTTAAAAAACCCGACCCGAAATAATAAAAAAAATATTTTTATTCAATAAAAACAGTGACTAAATTGAAAAAAATAATATATGGAGGGGTATTATTGTAATTATTCCTAAATATATAGGGTAAAATTATATATTTATTTCGGGTCGGGTCGGGTCAGATTTTTGTCACCCTAAACCCGAACCCGACCCGACCCGAACACCACATTAAAAAAACCCGACCCGAACCTGATTTTTTTATAAAAAAAAAAAAATCCGACCCGATCTGGTCGAGTTCGGGTTAGATGCCCATCCCTAGACTTAAGTGGTAGGTGTACCTATGATGTATGCTTATGTTATAATTGATGCTTGTGTGTTTGTTGAAATTGACGCATCGATGAAGTGCTTAGTAGGAGATAAGTATATGAAGCTTAGTTAAGTAAATGAATTTTGTAAATTACACAAATGTCTACGCTTTTCAAGATTGTTTACAAATTAATCCCTTAATATATTTATAAATTATAAATTATTTACAAATGAGTCATTGTCAGGTTTTTTTATGTACGACTTATCGATCAAGTTTTAATGATGCTATGTATTATGATTTCAATTCAATTTAATCTCTATATTTGATTGTCTATGTTAGAGCTATATAAAAGATTTAGAATTTTAATTACATTCGAATTTGAATTATTTTAGAATCTAAATATAACAATGTATGTTCGAATAAACTTCCAGTCTAAATAAGAATGTTACATTATAGAGTACCCAAAATTTAAAATATATATTGAATACATAAATATTTTAAAGATAATTATCTTGTACACTTAATATTAGTTCTCATTAAGTTCAACAACTTACGGAGTAAGTAGTTAAAAACTCTTAGCTGACACTTCCTCTCTTTCTCTTAGATTGTGAATTCAATCAACACCAATTAGGAGCAAAAATTTTCTTTTTTTTCTTCCCAAGATGAAAATTGTTCAAAATATTAATTTCATAAATATTAGTCCCATAATTAAACTTCTTATTGAAATATCAAGTTTTGATCGATTTCAGTTTAAGAAAATTTTCAATTTCAAGTTACAAACAAGATGTAAGTACGAAATTGAAAGAAAATACTAAGATTAAGTACCAATTTAGATAATAAATAAATTTAAGGGCCTTTTATGGGAATTGAGGCCTTGGCCATGAGAATCGGAGAAAAATGATTTTTAAGCCATAAAAAAAGATCTCGCAGGAAGAAGGATTGAAAAAATTCACCAAGGCAGCAGCACCAAGCAAAAGGGCAAGAGAACAAGAGGGACACAAGGAGAGAGCCTTGAGGAGTTCGTGTTTCTGTCTTACTTATTCAGAAACCCTAGTTTTTCATCGTCTTCATCTATCCCTTCAGCCCTACTCTCTTCCTTTTAGCTGTCCTACTGTTTCAAATTCTCCAATAAAACGACCGTCATTTCCTCGCCCCACCTTTAATGCTAATTATTTCTCAATTCTGGGGTTTCCTCTCCTAAAAGCTTGAATTTTACCATTGAAAGCGAAAAGAATCGGAGGTTTTGGGGTTTGGGTGGTGAAAAATAATTTCAACAACAAAAGTAAGCTATGTACAGTCATATAGATCGAGGGGGAGGGTCGTCGAAATCGGAGCTAGTCGGAGGAACGTTGGATCGGAAGCGCTTAAACGATGCGCTGGACAAGCAACTAGAGAAGTCGTCCCCATCCACTTCGAGAGGCTTCAACAGAAAAGACAAAGAAAGGTCCTCTGTTCCTTCAAATTCCATCGGTAAATCCCAGCTTGATCATCGCGATTTACGCTCCGCAGCTCTATCCAAAGCCAAGTGTGATGGTTAGTTACTTATCTATCACTTTCCTTCTTCGTTCCTGCTTTCTTTTTAAACCCTGTGATTAACATGTGACGGACCGTGTATTTGCTGATGCATTCGCTTATTTTTCGAGTTAATTTGATTTGGTAGGATCTGGGTTTTTAAGTGTTCGTCGGAAGCTCTGAGCTGATGCGTTTGTGTATTTGCACGTGAAAAATGTTTAAATATTTATAACTTCTTTATTAGCTATGATTATTTGTAGAATTCTTACTTAACCTATTCCATTTTCAATGTGCGTTTTTAAAAGACAAATTCTTTAGAACATGGCTCGCTGAAAGTAGGTTGTTGATAGGTTTTATTAAAATATACTCGTGTTTCCATGTATGAATGTTTGGACATTTGATGCCATAATACTTTCCATGTGTTGCGATATGTTCTTGTAAGTTAGCATTTGGGTTTTTAACTATTAAATGTGAACTTCTTCTTAGTTGTATATTGTTCTTTATTGCAGAGGAGTCTGAAACAGAGAGTGAAGAATCAGATGTTAGTGGTTCTGATGGAGATGACACGTCTTGGATCTCGTGGTTTTGCAATTTGCGAGGCAATGAGTTTTTCTGTGAAGTTGATGATGACTACATCCAGGATGATTTTAATCTTTGTGGTTTGAGCAGTCAAGTTCCATATTATGACTATGCGCTTGATTTAATGTTGGATTTTGAATCCTCCCATGGTAAGCACTTTCAAATTGCAGTATACAAAATTTGATGAGTTGATGTCCACTCATGGAGGTGCTATTACTTCCCAAAATCAGACCAGCAGTTAAGAGATGTTTTTACCTCTTTGATTCAAATTTCCATAAATGTTATATTTTGGGTCTTCATGAGGTTCGGCCAGGGAAGATCGGTAGATGAAAGTTTTCTAGGGGACATCCGAGTTTATTTTGGTTGTTTGGTTAATTATGACCCACATGATGTTGAGACTGTAACTCACTGGAGATTAATCTGATCATATGCAATATTAAGTTGGTTGTGGCTTGTTTAGTAGTCTGTAGGAAGTATGCACAACTGTATAAATTGTTTCTGCAGAATGTTAACATCATAAATGTTACTCTAAAGTGAATCGTGGAAATATATTATTGCAGCAGTTTTTCTGAATATGTAGTTTGCTGTTATAATGTTATTATCTATATTTACCTATTTTTTCTGGGTTTTTTTAATTATTTGCATCATCCCTGTGGTATGTGACAGTTTGCTTTGAATATCAATTTTTTTTAAAGTATGGCCCCTACTTTTATTTCTATCAACTCATCAGCCATCCATGCACATTGATTCTTGTTATTAAGAAGACGTTTTTTGGATTTTATAGGTGATATGTTCACTGAAGAGCAGAATGAATTGGTTGAATCAGCAGCTGAGATGTTGTTCGGTCTTATACATGTCCGTTACATATTAACTAGCAAGGGAATGTCTGCTATGGTAAAATTGCTGTAATTGTTCATTCTTTTGCTCTCCGTGACTTTTTCACATCTTGTATTCAAAATTCTACTTGCAATCCTATTCCAGTTGGAGAAATACAAAAATTATGACTTCGGTAGATGCCCAAGAGTATACTGCTCTGGACAACATTGTCTTCCGGTTGGTCAGTCAGATATCCCTCGTTCAAGCACTGTGAAAATCTACTGTCCAAAATGCGAAGATATTTACTATCCTCGATCCAAATATCAAGGCAGTATCCTTTCTATTTCATGTACTACTTTACCGTCTATTTGTGGAGAATCAAAATACCTATAGTTCTACTTCTCTACTATATTACACTTGTGACATGACTCGCATCATACTTGCATCTTACTCAAATTAATCATACTTATCTTTTGAACTACCTTCCTTGTGCATATTAAAATTGTCCTCAAGTAAGCCATATGAAATTACTTAATAATTTTTATTTTAAAAAAGGAAATTACCTTATAATTTGATCTAGTTTAGCGGGAGACACCCTATTATTTTCTGTTGTTGCTATGTTGTCATTTTGTGTCTGCAGTGTGAATATATCTCCTGTTTCGTCCCGAAAGTTATGATGCCTGTAGGATTTTCTAGATTCTTAAAGTTTTGGATTTTTTTATTAAGTTAGCAGATGATAGAGTGCCCATGCTCATGAATTTATCATCTTCCTTAGGTCAATTTTTGGGAGAAGCTACATGTTTCCAAACGCCCTTTAACAATGTCTCTTAGTTTGCAGGTCTTTTTTGTCTGTGTAGGTGGAACCAAACATTGGTATGACTTGTTGGTTCTCCCTATTTCCTTTTACCAAATCATGGGTGCATGCTTAATTTTCTTGACATTAACAAGATATGGACGGAGCTTATTTCGGGACTACATTTCCACATCTATTTCTTATGACATATGGACACTTGAAGCCACAAAAGCCGACTCAAAACTATGTCCCGAGAGTTTTTGGCTTCAAGATCCATAAGCCCTGGTGACTTGAGATATCCTATTGTGGGACGGTGGTGATTTTCTCTTGCCCTGGTTCTTCTTTCACTGCAGTGGATGATGCCCTAACATACAGGGTGATGAAGTGCACAAAAAAAGGAACAATTGTTGGAATGTTAAGAAAAAAATGAAATTATGTTTAGCTCAACATATATGTATTCATTCATGAATTGAACAGATCGTTTGTAAGCATATTAGGGTTCTGACATCTGTCCTGCTTTCTGCTTCCTCTCTAGGCTCATGGTTTGTCCCTGCGCTTCGGTCAATATTGAAGGGGCTCAGTAAAAGAATGATATGATTTTGACTGCATTATTGTTTACGTCGTAAGGTCACCTGCCCAAATTTGGGTTTGAAATCATCCATATAATATGGATTAGTTGGAACTTTTTCTTTAATCCTTTCATTAAGCTTAAACAAAATGGGCAGAGTTGTAAATTATGTTCTTTTTAATTGATTTCCTCTGTTAACTAACTTATTACCAGGTTTTCTTTAAAGGGTTGTTAATGGCATGATGATGGCATGTTGGAGTAGCTTTGGGATAAGCACGATAGGGTATAGACCTATGAAATAAATTTTAATAGATAAAAATAGATTATATATATTAAAAAATAAATGATATGAGAATTTAGAATTTTTTTAAATCCATCAACCAAGAAAACTAATGTAGTAGTTCAAGCAGGGTAGGCATGTCACTGCCCTAACATCAGTTTAGTTTTTTCCTTAAATTTATAGGGTTCAATCCAAAAAGGACAGCCATTGTACTTGGACTTTTGAGGAAACCAAAGCTTTAGGCTGCCTCCAATTTTAATGTGAGATTGATATTTTCAAAGCTTTAAGGTGTAATTAAACATCTGAGAATAGGATATAAACGGCGCTGACATTTGTACCGAATCAAATGGAGCCACGTGGATTTATACTATCGGTAGCTTTGAACGGCCACTTTTTGAACGAGTACAATTCTATATCGTCCTGACGTTCTCCGCAAGTGAAGGCGGGCATCGATATTATCAAATCCAAAAATCACATATTATTACTTAATTTTAGTTTTGTGAATTTATCAAATTAAATTAGAGGCTGATTTTTTTGCAATAATGCAATAATCCAGTCAGTCGGAAAAAAAAATTACTCGAATAGTGCATCCGAAAGATTATTTATTAGAATATGATGAATGTTACAGTACACATCAAATTCGCATTAGGCTCAAAGTAGATTATATTTGACGTCATTTAATTTTAAATAATGTATCGTTTATATTATTAGATTTTTAATTATTCTAATTATAATGTTAAATTTTGATTTTAAAAATATCATTATATTATTAAGATTCAAACTACGTGATGACATAGATAAAACAATAACATTTTAGTATGACTATTGATGCAAAAAACGATGTTGTTTAAAGCACTAAATTTTAAGCATATATCAATTTTATCTTTAATCCTTTAAATGATTCGCTTTTAGGTACTACATTTTTCCGGTCGTCATTGGAAGTGAATCATCACTTGTCATTGATCGTCATTCGCTGTAAGACCAATATAAAAATGCATGCATTTCATCTATTTTTCTTTTTTTAGGTTTGACTCTCATAAAACCCATTTAAAATCGAAGAAATTACAAAAAAATATATGTAATTTTTAGAGATTTGAAGGCTTTCTCATATTTGAGGGTTGAGGAATTTGTTTAAAAATTTGAATGACGATAAGTATTATTTTGATAAGATGATAATGCATCGCCCAATAATGATAGATGAGATTTTATATAAATCTCGTAGATATTATTTATCAGAGATATAATACACTCATAATATGAGTGCAAAATTTAATTTAAATAAAAAAATCCAATACAATATTAGGCTTTTTGCTGTGTCACGCCCTTGGAACTTCGACGCCTCGGAACGTGCGGCCTTAGTCGCCTTCTTTGTGATTGTGGTTAGGCCAGTCTGAAAACAACCCAAGCAAAAATGCTTAGATTCCTAACGGAAGCAAAAATAAGAGAACTAGCACAAAAGCAAGATAAGAGAAGAAGTTTGAGAGAATGTTATATGATTTCTCAAATGAATAAATGAGCACAAATGAGGAGGGGATGCCTCTATTTATAGTTGAAGCTCCCCTCAATGAACGGCTAAGATCTAATTACATCGACGACCAAGATTGAATACACTTTACCTAATCCCACAATTCAAGGGATTGTGTTTTCTATACAAAATTAAATCCCACCAATCAAGATATTGAAGTTGTAAAGTCTTTGGCGGGTCCTGGAATATCCAAAACCCCATTTAAGTAGTCTTAGGCTACTTCTCATGGGCTGACCTCGGTTGTGGGCTTGTGGTCTGTGACATTCTCCCTCACTGGTTTTGGTGTCGCCCTCGTCACTCTTCTGGCATGAAATTGGTCTATTCGGGTCTTGAATTGCGAAAGTCCCTCGACATGCTCTCAATTTCCTTCACACTCGGGTTGACCCTTCCACATGACAAAGTACTCATGCCTCGGGCAGTGTCTTGGTCGTCGAATAACTCTCTCTGCCTGTAATCTTGAATCTCCTTGTCATAGGAGATCGCTACTTCGACTGGCGTTCGGTGTGACTTGCCTCGATTCGGATCCTCTACATCCTAATAGTACGATTTGAGTATACTAACATGGATCACGAGATGCACTCGGATGGTTGAAGGTAACTCTAACTTGTAGGTCATGGTGCCTATCTGCTTTACAACTCGGAACGGACCCTCGTACCTTCGCACAAGCCTCTTGTACATATTTGTATGTGTAACACCTCAACCCGTATCCGACCCGGATACGAGTCCGAAGTGTCACATTGACTTTTCAAACATTTATTCGTATAAAAATAGTGAATACTTTAAAAACTTTTATAACATTTAACTTATTCAAAAACATTTACAAAACTATTCAGAGCTTATACAATATATTCTTTTGATTACATGCCAACTAGAACTTTATATATAAAAATACATATTATTCACCTCTCTTCTGATCTGACATTCGGTAAGGAGAACTGACCTGTCTTGTTCCTCTTTACTTCTCTTTTCGCTTTCCAAACCTACGTGTGAAACAATCACACGCTAAGTCGATGACTTAGTGAGGCATATAAAACATATAATATTTCATATAACATAAAGCATACATAAACATATACCATCATTATCATAATCTCTATCATTATCATTAAGAAACGCACATAACATCATATGGTTCATGAAACACATTTCAAACCACGTGTACACCCATCGTATACATATCACATTCAGTATGTTTGTTTATTCTCTTTATTAGCCCATGTACACTAGTGAGAACTTAAGGTATGTGAGTATATTGAGGTTGTGCACACATATGTTGTCAACACAGCTCGATCAATGTCCCGAAGGACCTATCCAGAGGTTATAAAGATCCTCGGTAACTATCCAGAGGTTATAAAGATCCTCGGTAACTGTCCATAGGTCCCGAAGAACCTAGGTAAACTATCCATATGTTCCTTAGAACATAGGTATACTGTCCATATATCTCGAAAGACATAGGTAGTTCTTTGACTCTTGGCATGCCAACTATACCTACAGTTCTCATAACTCATAACATGGGCATTATCATTATGAATACATTTCTCATCACTTGTTCTTTCTCTTCTGTCACATACCACATGTATGTGTAACCATGTATTTCATATCATATATTTTATAATAGATTCTTATATCATTATTTGTTTCCTTCCTACCTATTCACAATCACACTAACATGTAATGCAAGCAAGATGTATTAATACATACATGTAACCACGTACTCATACACACATAAGCATCATATCAGTCACAAATCAAATAACATTTTAGGAGTCACTTCTTACTATAGTAACTCCATCACTGGCTCATCACAAGACAATGTTTATTCGATAACATAAGTACAATTAAATTGCACTCACCTTAGCTTTGCTTTGATTCGATTCTAATCCTTCAATTATTTTTGAATGGGATCACGTTCTATATCTACATAATGATTCATAGATCTATATCAGTATTATAACTAATATACTCTAATGGTTCACTCCTTAGACTAAGAAAAATGCCAATTTCATCTTTCAATGAAAGTATGCATCGATGCACTACTGATGCATCGGTGCATAAAATGCATTCGATGTTGTATTATCACTGGGATGCATCGATGCATGCCTTATGCATCGATGCACTAATTGCATTCGATGTTTCTATTTTAAAAGAGTGCATCGATGCACTACCTATACATCGATACACCTTCAAACAAAATTCTGGGTTTTAACCTTGATGCATCGATGCACTATGAATGTGCATCGATGCACTCTGCCCAGAACCTCTTTTTGAACCCGAAAATCATCAACTCTTCACTCAAATGCTTCATATTTCATCCCCTTTCATAATCCTAACTTTCATATACATGTTTAAACTCATTTATAATCATTTATCCCATCTTTAACCTTAATATCCTCTCTTCTTTAGGAACTTCAAGAATCATACCCTATTTTCCACATGTTTCAAATCCAATTCTAACATTTAATACTTCTTAATTTAGCTGATGACAAGTCAAATTTAGTTCCCAATTCAACTTATCATCTCTTTTCCAAAGATTTACTTAAAAACCCATTTTCTTTGATATTTCATAACTCCTTTATCTTTTGATTTTAAGATAACTTAAGCTTTATTTAAGCTTAGTTATCCTCTAATGATCAAAACCCAACCTTTAATTCAACAAATAATCAGGAAATCATAAACTCACCTTTGCTTAGCTTCCACGGGGAGGAGGAAGAAGAAATGAAGAAGAAGATGAAAATGTTTTCATCTTCTACGTTTTCATATCTTATAAAAGGGATAAAATATCTTTAATGTCAAATGACCATTTTACCCTTTAATTCCTTTAATAATTACTAACAACTTTTAGGAAATATTTTCATATAAATAACTGAACTAATCCATTCTTCTACTTTAGTCACCAAATTCTGAAACTTTACAATTTGGTCACTAACCCATAGTTTGGGATGTTACAGTATGGCACAAAATGTTGGCTAATTTTGCAAGGACAAGATCTCCAACTTAAAAGTTCACGTCCCTACGCTTTCGGTCAGCCCACTTCTTGGTCCGCTTCCCCACCTTTTGTAAACAAGCTCGGGCTAAGTCAGGTTGCTCATGCCACTCTTTGGCAACATTTTGTGTTGATGGATTTGGCCCCTCATATTTAGTAACAACCGTGTTGGGTGTCAACGGTTGCTGCCCGGTCACGATCTTGAATGGACTTTTGTTTGTCGCATCGCTCCATTGCAAGTTGTAGGAAAATTGGGTCACATCCAGTAACTTTGGCCAGTCACGTTGGTTGACACTCACATAGTGCCTCAGATAAATATCCAACAAAGCATTCACTCGTTCGGTTTGTCCATCAGTTTATGGATGAATTGCAGTGGAAAAGTTCAAGATTGATCCCATCAACTTGAACAACTCCGTCCAAAATCTTCCCGTGAACCGTGTGTCTCGGTCGCTAATGATGGTTTTCGACATCCCCCAATACTTTACCATATGCTTGAGGAAAAGTCGAGCTGCCTCCACGGTTGGACACACCTTAGATGCTGGTATGAACGTCGCATACTTCGAAAACCTGTCAACTACAACGATTATGCTAGAAAGTCCATCAGTCTTGGGCACACCTATGATAAAATCCATGGAAATACTATCCTATGAGCGCTTAGAAATGGGCAAAGGTTACAACAGTCCCGCCGGTTTCTTTGCCTCGATTTTACCTTACTGACACACAAGATAAGTCTTTACATAGGCCTGCACATCTTCATACATGTGTGGCCAATAATACAGCTCCAAAAGTAGGGCCAAAGTCCGACCAACTCCCGAATGTCCCGCCCATTTGGAATCATGGCATTCTATTATGAGCTCATTGCGTAACTTTCCATATCGAGGCACAAAGAGACGATGTCCTCGATAATAAAACAATTCTCCCTCGAGCAAAAACTCCCTGGTTCGCCCCTCCTTAGCTTTCTCTATTATTCATTCGGCCACAGGATCATGGGGTAACCCTTCTTTGATCATCTCGAGTAAAGTACCTTCCACAGTCTCGATGGCATACCTCCGACTTAAGCCATCCGCAACACAATTCACCTTCCATGCCTTGTATTCCATAGAGAAGTCAAACTCGGCAAGAAACTCTTACCAACGAGCCTGCTTGGGAGAAAGCTTATTTTGGGTGAGGAAGTAACTGTTGGCAACATTGTCGGTAAACACCACGAACTTGGACCCAAGCAAATAATGTCATCATGTACGTAAACAGTGCATAACCGTAGTCATCTCTTTCTCATGGATCATGTATCTCCTCTCGATTTCATTGAGTTTTCGGTTTCCGTAAGCAACCGCAAGTCCATCTTACATTATGACCCCACCAATGGCAATGTCGGATGCATCGATGAATACTTCAAATGGCTTGGTGTGATCTGGAAACACCAAAATAGGCTCGCTTATCATAACAAGCTTGATTTCTTCAAAGGCACTTTGGCACTTCGGGCTCCAATCCCACCTTTTATCTTTCTTTAATAACTCGGTCAAGGGGTGATGATTTTTTAGTAGCCTTTGACAAACCTCCAGTAATAGTTGGCCAACCCCAGGAATGACCTCAGTTCCGTCACATTGGTTGGCACCTTCTATTCATCAATGGCCCGAATTTTGTCCCTATCCATTCAGATCTCGCCACCTTCAATAATGTGGCAAAGGAAAGAAACCTCCGTTTTGGAAAATTAGCGCTTCTCTTCTTTAACAAATAGGTCATTTTCTCGCAACCCCATGAACACTTGTTTCAGGTGTTCAATATGCTCCTCCAACTTCTTACAATAGATGAGAATGTCGTCTAGGTAGACTACAACGAATCGATCTAGAAATGGCTACCAAGGCATCACAAGGTATTCATAAGAATCGTACATTGGTGAACCACTTTACGCTACCAAGCTGATCGAACAAGTCTGCAATGAGAGGAATTGGGTACTTGTTCTTCACTGTGAGCTTATTTAAAGCCCAATAATCGATGTATATTCGTAAAGAACCATCATACTTTTTTTGAAACAACACTGGTGCACCATAAGGGGACTTGGATGGTCGGATGTATCCGGCATCGAGGAGATCCTTCAACTGTCTGTGCATCTCCTCTAACTCCGGTGGAGCCATTCGACAAGGGGTTCAAGCGGATGGTTCCGTATTCGACATAAGCCCGATCTTGTGATCTATCTTTCTCTTTGGAAGTAACTTCTTAAGCAACTCGGCAGACATCACATCTTTGAATTCTGCCAAAACGTGACTCACCACATCGGGAACTTCTTTGGTTGTGGTAGGCTGATCACACACCAAGACAGCTAAGAAGGTTGGTTTCTCCTTGCGCACCGCCTTCGCGAATTAGATTGTGGACAAAACTTTGGCCCCTACTTCAGGCCCTCAGCTCACTATAACAATACATTGTTTCTTTGGATCCATGATGCACAAACAACCGGTAAAAGGTATTGGGAAAACATTGATCCTGTCCAAGAAACTTAACCCAAGCACAAAGTCGAAGTCATCAAGAGGAATCACCTTGATGACTTCCATTCCGGACCAACCTCAAATAGTTAACTCAATTCCCTTTGTGACCCCTACAATCAGAACTTCTTCGACATTTACGGTTTTGATGGAACCACTTGTCTTCTCAACATAAAGGCAAAGTCTTTTGGCAATTTGTTTGGACATGAACAACTCTGAGGCACCGATGTCCATTAGTGCACTCAATTTCTGGTCAGCAACGTTGACGTCAACGAACATCAACCCTTCTTCTTCCGTCCTTTCTTGACCTCCATGGTGCTAAGGATGGAGCCAAGCTTGAGAGTCTCACTCTCTTCCCCATCAGCCTCCTTGATGGCAGCAACTTTAACAAGTTGAGGGCAATATCTCTTCATGTGATTTCCTCCACAATTGAAGCACGATAAGTCTCCCTTCTTTTCTCATGTATTATAGAGCTTTATGGGTCTGTCATTCTGCTTCCCATTACCTTCTGTTGGCTTATGGAAACCTCCTTTAGCCTTCTCTCCCGTACCATTACCTTTGTGTTTTGGTTTGGGTTAGAGAAAATCAGTCTTCTTCACTTCAAACGAGGCAATGGCCTCTACTGTATCTAATGTCTTGGAGAGTTCGGTCACTCCCCTCTTCTGACTCGCCCAAGTTCGAGATTTACATCTATATCTCAGTGAAGTTCTCGACATACTCCAAGATGGTGCGGTCATGCTTCAACTGTTTCATTTTTGCTCGAGCCTCGAGCACAAATTCTTCTGATAGAAATGCTCTTTTAGTTCACCCACGAACTCCTCCTTTGTCCCAATTGGATTCATCCTCTCGAAACACCTACGTTGCCACCATAACATAGCAACATCAGTAAGATAATTTGAAGCAACATTTACCTTGGTGGTATCATCCCCGATACCCATACAGCGAAAGAATTGCTCCATGCCCCATATGTAATTCTTCACATCTTGGGCAGTTCGACTCCCCTTGAACTCATTCAGCTTAGAGACGTCGATCATGGGTCTTGGTGTATGTGAATCCCCAGTCACCCTATTCAACACTGCAGCCTTGTAGACAAGTAGCTCGCTCTTGAGCTCATTCACCTCTCGCATCATTTCGACCCTCATAGCCAAGTATATGCTCTCGAGGACTCTGGTGCGCTCATCCACTTTCTCTGTCATTTCGTTGATGAGTGCTTGAGTTTCCTGGCCAAATCCTTCCTCTACAGACTCCAGTTTCTCCAAGCAAGATTCAATCAAGTCTTGAGTCTCATTGACT